TGGTGTTGCGCTTCTTGTTTTTACCTCTTTTCTTCTCTCAAAACCCTTATAAATATGTTGTGTAGCGTTCTGGATGGCTCTAGGGTTTAAATACACGACCATGATGTTGTTTCCATAAGTCTTTCAATCGAATAAGAAAACCAAAAATTTCGCGTCAAAAAGGCTAACTATGCGACCGCATAGTTATGTTGCATGTAACCGCATAGTTCTCTTGAAAGTGGCCCTAGAATTTGCTGAAGCCATCTATGCGACTATATAGGATTTAAGCTATGCGACCACATAGCTTATTTAACTTTCAAAATGTTGCAATTTGGTCCTCAAACTCCGTTTCACATTTCTCGACCTCTTTTCCCACTTCTTCTTCAAACAATACTTCATTCCTTAGCTCAATTTGACCTAACTATCTCCACATCTTCAATTCCTCTTCTGGGTCTCCCTGAACTTTGGTGTTCTTTCGTTTTAGTCTTTTTTTCACTTGTTTCTCATAATTTCTGTCACATTCATCACGTTTTCCTACAAAACACAAATTACGTAGAATTAAGATATATTCCAACATATTTATCAACAATTATTCATATTTGTAGCTCAAAATAAGTGGGTAAAACGCTCTTATCAAATGCTTGAGATTTTGAGATGATATTGTGCAAGCAATTGGGTTAGTTGTTGAAAATGGAATATTTTTGCATATTTCCAATTGCTCTTGTTTTTCTTTGCATTTAATTTTTAGCAGAAAGCTTCTTCAGTAAAATCCATAATTGTTGAGGTACCGGACTAGAATCCTAATCTAATGCTTCTTGGTATTAATTTTGCTCAGCAATTTTACCTTTGATGCAATTATGATTACTAGTTTATTACCTTGAATCTTGATTACTAATTGTAATACTCTTCGTTCGTGTCTAGAAGAATGTTCACTCATTTAATCTAATTGATCTAATTCATTTCTAGCTTTTTTTTCTCTTAAATTTTTGATTGGTAGATCCTCTTCTATTTTGACACTTGTGTAACTATGATTATCCCATGGATGATTTAAATTTAAGGTAAATGATGCAAAAATCATTTCTAGAAGATCAAAATTTATTAATTCGAATCAAATCTCCACTCTTATTAGGAAAATTACTTGTGGTTAAGGCATATGAGTGAAAAGTATCCTGCCTTTCAATGACACCCTACCATTTTAATGAAATAACAAGAATAGACTCTACCATATTCATTTCAAAACTTCCTATATTAACACACTAAGTATTATTGTAGATTTTTAATATTTGTTCAATGCTTATTGAACATGATCATTTTATATTTTTTTTATTTAGAAATGGAACATTGTTTGAGTATATTCCCATTGAAGATATGATTGAAGGTGTTCACCGGATGGTTACCTTCAGAAGCTTGATTTTTTTGAGAGAAGTTAAATGATGTTTACCGAAAAAATATAATGCAGAACACTCTGTTCTTTTTTGGTAGCATGAAAAAATGATTACAAAAGTTGATTTGAATTCAAACTGAGTATATGCATACTAGCAAAGAAGTTGATTTGAATTGTATTAAATGCCACAATTCGTTTTCTCAATTCCATAGAACAATAGTATTGGTAATTATCGCATATACTTTGTATCGACCGTGGTGTCTATATGTAGCAAAAATTTCAATTCGTTCATTTTCATGTGGATACAAGTGAACAAAAGGTGAAACAAAAACAAAATAGTTGAAACGACACTCGACCGTATAAAACGTCAACATGTCGTTTATGTTACGGAATCTCAATTTCACTTTTAAACTAATCAATAATATCTTGGAGCTCCTTAGAAGACTTATAAAATTTAAACTAGCTAATTTATTGAGTATCTTATCTCATAATTAAAATATAATTGAATTTGAGTTACTTACCTTTATTTATAGTAAAGTCTAGAATAAACTCGAACAATATTGTTGGCCACTATCGAGAACTTTTGTATCAACATTGATAGCCAAATATGGTAAAAACTTGTATTAGTTCATTTTCATATGGATATGATTGCACATAGTATGTTTTATATATCATACATTTTACTTGTGTTTCCTTTGTTGTCAATTGTAGTGTAGTTTTTAATCGGATGTATGCGTGACTCACTATAATTTGAACTTTGTGTAGACCGCAACATCAAAATGCAGTTAAAACTTTCATTGTTACACTTTCAAGTGGATATGAGCGAGAAAGAAGCAAAACAGGCATGAAAATAGTGGAAATGACACTCTAAACGATCACAAACCGTTTTGGGTCGTGGATTCTCAATTTCACTCTGAAATAGTAAAAAAAATTTGGATCATAGATGAAGTTGTACATGTTGAACGACTGCATGTGCTATGTTTTTATACCATACTTGTTACATACATTATCCTTTGTTTGTCAAGTATAGTGTAGTTTCCAACCCGAATGTATGGTATGACTCACTACAAGTTATCCTTGTGTGAATAGTGACGTCCAAATGTAGTTGAAACTTTCATTTTTATAGTTTCAAGTGAATACAAGCAAGAATGAATCGAAATGAACATGAAATTAGTAGAAATGACATCAATCATTTTAAACGGCCACACGCCATTTTGGACACGAAGTTCTCGATTTCACTCCGAAACTAGTAAAAAACAATGTTTGGAACATCATAGATAACTTGTACATGTTGAACTATTGCATGTACTAAAGTTTTTGCATACCATACTTGTTACTTATGTTTTTCTTTGTTGACAAGTGTAGTGTAGCTCCCAACCAGATGTTTGGTGTAATTCCTTATAGTTTGAACTTCGTGTCGATCGTGATATCAAAATGTAGTCAAAACTTTCATTCTTACACTTTCAAGTGGGTACGAGAGAGAATGATGCGAAATGAACACAAAATTAGTAGGAACAACACCGATACGATTTAAATGACTACATACCCTCTGGGTCATGGGTTCTCGATTGCACTACGAAACTAGTAAAAATAATGTTTGGAAGATTATAAATGAGTTGTACATATTCAATGACTGCACTTGCAATGCTTTGCTTACCGTATTTCTTACTTTCATTTTTTTTTTTTTTTTTGGTCAAGTGTAGTGTAATTTCAAACCAGATGTATGGTGTGATTTACTATAGTTTGAACTTTGTGTGGACTGTAACATCCAAATATAATTGAAATTTTCATTCTCACACTTTCAAACTAGTAAAAACGTTATTTTACACACATAGATAAGTTGTACATACTGAACTACTGCACATGCTATATTTTGTATGCCATACTTGCTACTTCTTTTTTTGTTATTGTCAAGTGTAGTGTAGTTTTCAATCGGAGTATGGTGTGACTCATTATAATTTGTACTTTGTGTGGACCATGACGTCGCAATGTACTTAAAACTTTCATTCTTACACTTTCAAGTGGATACGAGCAAGAATGAAGCGCAACAACCACGAAATTAATGGAAATGACACCTAGACATTTTAATAACCATATGGCGTTTTGGTGCACGGATTCTCGATTTCACTCCAAAGCTAGTAAAAAGTCATTTGGAATATCATACATGAGTTGTACATATTGAACGATTGCACGTGCTATGTTTTGTATAACATACGTTTTACTTACATTTTTCTTTATTGTCAAGTGTAGGTTCCAACCAGATGTATGGCGTGACTCACTATAGTTTGAACTTTTTGTGGACCGTGACGTTCAAATGTAGTTAAAATTTTCATTTTTACATTTTCAAGTGGATACGAGGAAGAATGAAGCAAAATGAACACAAAATTAGTAGAAATGATACCCATAAATTTTAAACAACCACACTGTCTTGGGTCAGGGATTCTCGATTTCTCTCTGAAATTAATAAAAACAATGTTCGAAAAGTCATAGATGAGATGTACTTGTTTAATGACTGTACATACTATATTTATATACCATATTTATTACTTACGTTTTTCTTTGTTGTCAAGTATAGTATAGTTTCCAACCGGATGTATGGTTTGAATCACTAAAGTTTGAGCTTTGTGTGGATCGTGACATCCAAATTAGTTAAAACTTTCATTCTTACTCTTTCAAGTAGATATAGCGAGGATGAAGCGAAACAAAAATGAAATTAGTAGAAATGACATCCATGCTTTTTAAACAATTGCATTCTGTTTTGGGTCATGGGTTCTCGATTTTACTTCGAAACTAGTAAAAATAATGTTTAGAACATCATAGATGAATTATACATGTTGAAAGATTGCACATACTATGTTTTGTATATCCTAAATCATAAACTCTAAGCTTAAACAACATTGATACATTTAAAACGACCATATGTCATTTTGGATCTCACTAAGTAGAGCTATCAAAATTTATCGAAAAACACATAACAATTTTAAGATTAAATTCAACAACCACATCAATTTAAACGTGAAAATGAAGGGAAATTTGGGAGGATTTTTGTTTGGGGATTTTGTAAATTTTTGTTTGAAATTGGACATTTTAGACATTTCAAATGTAGTGTATCTAAGACTTTTAACATATGATAAAATAAAGACTATTTTACCAAACATCATTGACTGTAGGTTATTCTATCAAGGGCGTGTTTGATGAATATTATTGAGAAAATAATGTATTTTAAATAGTGATATGATAGGAAATAGTGGTTAAAAAGTAAGGAAAAATTATTGATGTGATGAAAAATATATGATTGAAAATGAGTTATGAAATAATGTATTTTGAAAGAATGTGTATCAAACGAGGGGCCAAACATCATTGTTGATTATATTGATGTGATGAAAAATATTATTTTATTAAAAAATATATGATTATAAATGAGTTGTGAAATAATATATTTTGAAAGAATGTGTATCAAACGAAGGCCATTATAAGCAAAATCCACTGAACACTGACACTCTATTGGACTAAAGTTGATTAACAAAATGAGCCCATTAAAGGCCCACCGCCTATATATTCTTATCTCAGCTCCACTGCTTGGCATAGTCGTAGTTGTATTTGTACAGTTCTTTCGCAAGAACTTCCTCTGCCTCAAATGGCTTCTTCTTTCTCAATCTCCGTCACTTTCAGGTCATACTCTCTCTCTCTTCACCCCCTATATATATGCAGCATGAAGCATCTTTCTATTTTGGTAGTTTGTATAATAATTTTAAAGTGAATTTCTAGTTCTATATCGGTCTATTGACTACTGCTGGCTGCTCAATCCTTGATTCTTTTGGTTTTCAATTGATCATTTAAATTTATTTATGGAACCATAAAACTGATGTTGCATAATCTGAAGTTTTCTTTCATTCGAATATTTTCTGTAATTTGATATTCCAGAATTGTTTCTCACATTTGGTATTTGTCATTGTTGTTGTAATTTTTTTCAGGATGAATCTAGTGCATCCAAACAATCACTTGTGCTTCCCCCATTTACAGAACGGAGTTGTGCGTTTCCGTGCTCGTACAAGTATTACATGGCAAAAATGCAATTTAAAGCTCAATATGGTGCCTGGTCGACTATTTTCTGGTTGTCGTGATACGAGAACCTTAGCAACTGCTAGCTCATTAGAAATTGATGGTGAAAACCAGGCAATTGTGTTCAGGTCTCTGATTAATTCTGTTTAACATTTATTATGAATTGTGTTATCACTTATGAATTCAGTTTTTACTCTTTCTTTCCATTTAATTTGTTATGACTGTAAACTTTATTTTTAGAAAATGTATTTTAGCTATTGTTTATTTTGCTAGAATTTTATTGTATCTATTGTTTTAGTTGGATTTAATCAACATAGTTGTGGAGTTATTGTTGCTAATTATTAGGCATTATAGGTGTTATAATGGGTTAGTGACTAGTATCTAGAAATGAGTAGGCACTTTTAGGTATCTTCTATTACTTTTTAAAGAGAGAAAAATAAATGAAGAGAAGAATTTATTTGGCATTTCTATGCTTTTCGAGGTCGAGTTCCTCAGAAATTCAATTTGGAGGTCAAGTATTCCTCGAATGAACCTACCATAATCGTTCATTTCATTATTTCTATATGAACAATTCGTGTTTTTATCATACTTTCCTACAATACGTATGAAATATATGGTGTAAGTTAAGCATCCTTCATTTCTGTCCTTGAAATAATATTTGATTTTAAATAATTTTTTATAAAATTATCTTGCTGAGAAATCATGGACTGATAACATGCATGTGATGTCCCAAGCAACACTATTCAGTCTATTCTCACCTATAATTTCTTTTACCAATGCTGTCTATCACTGCACATAAGCCCACATTTGGCCATATAAGCTTCTGTTACCATCATTGACCTTCCTCATCATCACAGTAAAGTAGCAGTCTTTACAACAATAATGGACTGCCCAAAATCAGTCAGCACCACTCATTGAACCACCATCTAGCACTATAATTTACTGTAAAGTTTATTTGTTTAGTAGTAATTTTTTTTTTTGAGAAGTTTCACTAAACGAACCAAACACCAAATGATGACAAGAGAACAAGTATTTTTTGCCTGTGCTGGGTGGAACATTTTATGTGAACCAAATCATTGCATTTGAGATGAAGGTGTCACTCTAAAAGTTTATTATAATTAAATTGTAGATTCCATGCCTTAATTTAACTAGAATGTGTTTGACTAACAGGTCTAGAAATTTGAATGAGAACCCAATGAACCTCAAAAACGGCATGAATGATCTTGAAAGCCAACTGCAGGAGTTGTTTAATGAAGTAAAAACTATGATTCAATTGGGAAAGGAAAATGATGCAGTTGATTTACTTCAGGCGAATTATGAAGCTGTTAAAGAACAGATGGCTTCAGGTGCTACAGGCATAGAAGAAGCTGCTATTCTTGATGTAATAGCCTTGGGGTACATGGCTCTTGGAGATTTGCGGACTGTTGGATCCCTATTAGACGTGGTAATTTATCTTGCAACATATCTAGGTACAATATTTCTGCATTCTTTATATAAAATTTTCAATTATATGAAGCCAGGTTTAATCCATATACATGCTTCCTTGAATGTGGTTACTAAAAGAATGGAAGAGAGAAAAAAAGTTTCATGTAGATTGTAATTGACAAAGTGAACTTCTTATTCAACTAGTATATAATTTTTTGAGAGAAACAGATCTGTTCATGCAACTTGGAGATTTATTTCAACTGAAGATGAGATTTTTTTCAAATAAAATCTAGATGGTTATCTGAACTTCCCTTTGTTCTGCGATGGGTTTCTATTTAAACAACATTGCCATCTTATTCTGGATTATAATGCTTTCTTTAATTATATTCTTTTTGACAATATTTGTCCTGAGGATCTGCTAAATGTGAATCCAGTTGAACAAGATTGTAAATAGGTTGAAGGATCAGGAACCTCTTCTGGATTCGATACTCATGCATATGGGAAGTATGTATGACAAGTTAGAAAAGTTTGAGCTGTCCATTGGTTTCTACCAGAGATCCCTTGAAATTATGGAAAGAACATATGGTAGGTTCAACTTTGATATTTTATTCAGGTTAATTCTACTAATTAATGGAGGATTCTTCTTCTGTCATGGTTTTTTTTATTGTTTGTGTGTTGGGGGTGAGGGTGGCGCTTGTTTTTAGACAGGATGTAGGATATTCTTCCGTTTTGTCATCCAGCTTTAGGTTTTCTGGATACAATGGAACATGTTTCGGTTTTTTGGTTAGATGGCTAATCAAATAACCATTCATATAAAATTCTATTTACCTATTTGTTTAAAGCAGCCACCATATGAAATCTATGTTTCTACTTGTCTTGTAGGGAACAACAGCTCATTTCTTACCATGCTGTTGTTGGGGATGGCTAAAGTGCTGGGTGCTATGGGAAGAGCCAGTGAGGCAATGGAAACATACCAGCGTGTGATTAAGCTATTGGAATCTAGTAGGGGTGGGGAAAATGAGGAATTGGTAGTGCCATTATTGGCACAGGGCAATCTTTTAATGAAGGAAGGAAGAGCTCCGGATGCTGAAAGTCCTTTCAATAGGTTAAAAACTTTTTATACTGCATATCATTTGGTTATTATAGATTCTTTGCTTGTTGATCATTAGCCTTTTACATTCTTACATTTTGCCTTCATTATCCAGAATCTTAAACATTTATGTGAATACATATGGAGAAAAGGATGGAAGAGTTGGATTGGCTATGTGCTCCCTGGCACAGGTGAAATGTGCAAAAGGTGAATTTCTATGTTACATTCTTTATATATGTATATATATTTATCATTAAAATTTTCTGTTGCCATCTCCTACATTTCTCTCAATTCAACATTTGACGATTATAGGTTAGTTGCCTACGTTGTTTGTACTTTTTACTGATCTGGGAGAATGAAAATAAATATGGTCTCCTGTCTGACATGAATACTATCATTTTTTCCTGTTGTTCTTCTTTATGGATGATAACTTTGGAGTTACCATGTCAGATGGGGGCTTTGTATAATAATGTAAATAGAAGAGTGGCCAACTTAGGTTCAATTTATGGAACTATGGCATAAAGATGGAATTCATGTTTGATACCTCAAAGAAAAGGAAAAAAAGATTTTATAGTGAATGCCCTGTTTATTTTCTTCTTTGTTCTTTAATGTTTTCCCTTTTGGATAATGACAAATACCATTAAATTTAATTCATGGACTTCATTGCTTAGCCCAAAAGAGAAGATCTATTAGGTTCTATAAAGCACCAAGCTATTGTAGAATAGTGTGTAGGCTTCAAAAAGGTTTCATACGTGAAAGCTTAGTGTCATCATTTGGACCTCCTTCCTCATCATGTCCACCTCAAGTCTTCCACATTAACGTGTTTGGTTCCTGTGCGGCCTTCTGTAGGAGATGTGAATGAAGCCATTGATCTGTACAAGAGGGCCCTTCAAATCCTTGAGGATTCAAAATACATGGAATTGGATGACATTGCAATGGAACAGATGAGAATAGACTTGGCTGAGTTACTTCATGCAACCGGAAGGTAAGAAATATCCTTTTTCTGGTATTGGTGATTTCCCACCTGTTCATCTTACAGCAAATGTCAAGTGTTAGATAACTGTTGGGCGTTTCACATTGTCTCATCATTATATACGGCTCATCCCAGAGTAATAATGTCAACGGCTATGGAACTGTTGGTTTTATCTCATTTTCTCCTCGTTATAATTTTTTAGTAGATTTCCCTGAGCATTTTGTGCACTGAGTTTTTTTTTTTGGCATCCAGTTCCTTGGATAAATATAGAATTATCAGCTAACTGCTTACTGTTTCTGTTTAAAATTTTATAAACCAATTCATTCTTCTATTCCATGTACTTAACTGGTTTTTAAGGGTATATATTGGAGGAAGATGCCATAAAGCCATTTAGAGTGAGCAGTTAAATTTTTGTATGTCAGAAAGTAGAGGCTATTAAGAGTATGATTTTGGTTGTTGAACCAGTGTACACTAAATTGCGCAAAACATGCGCTGCATGTGAGCAGGAAACAGCTGGTGTTGGTTGCAGAGTATTATAGTCCTCTTTCAATTAATTTTTTTTTTTTTTTTGATAATCTTAAAACACAGAGGAGAAGAAGGCCGAGCCCTTCTGGAGGAATGCTTGTTAGTAAATGAGAAGTATAAAGGAAAAGAACATCCCAGCTCAGTACCACTTCTTGTAAATCTTGCAACTTCCTATTCACGCTACAAGAATTTTGTAGAAGCTGAGCGCTTGCTGAGGATAAGTTTGCAAATTATGATGAAGACTGTCCCCCCTGATGATCAGTCCATCACATTCCCGATGTTACATCTTGCCATCACTCTATACAATCTAAATCGAGATGAAGAAGCTGAAAAACTTACTCTCAATGTTCTACGCATTCGCGAGAAGGCATTTGGAAGAGAATCTCTACCGACTGGTAATTTTCTTGTCTTGCAGTTGCTTGCTGTATGCTGGATTATAAAGCATGTTTGCTAAGCTTAAATGTTACTTTTCTAGAAAGTGAGTCAAGACCTACTTTCAGAAAAGAAAATTTTGTTAGTATATAAAGCAACTTGGAAATTATATATGGCGAGAAAGAAGCTTAAAAGTAACTCTTACTTCTCTTTAAGCTTAGCCAAACATGCTCATATCTCCTATATTTCATGCTTTTGTTTTGTGAACTTGTAACAGGAGAGGCTCTTGACTGTTTGGTCTCCATTCAGTCACGATTAGGGAAGGACAACAGTGAGTTGTTGGAGCTGCTCAAGAGGGTTCTGAGAATTCAGGAAAAAGCTTTTGGCCATGAGGGTGAGGAGGTCATGGAAACCCTCAAGAAAATTGTACATTACATGGACAAAATGGGTATGAATAACGAGAAACTTCCATTGCAAAGAAGATTATCCATTTTGAGAAACAAACACAAGAAAATGGTTAGGTATTGACAACAGTGGCTTGTTGAGTTGGATACTTCTTGTTTTCTTTTAATGGAGCGAATCCTAGATCCTTGGCCATTTTGATGTCACAACATTGATGAAAAGTTTTATGGCAAGAGAAAGCAGCCAGTATTCAGCATTTTTGAGAATGAACATTTAGGTACTGAGCAACTCAAGTCATGCATCTTTTGATAGTGTTCAATATTTTATAGCATGCTTAATTTCGTTGATAGAGATTCTATATAATGACTCGTAGATTCATCATGCTCTTCGTTAACCAATAAAATCTTACCAGTTTTACTTTCTGGTAAAAACAACAATCTCATGATCAAGGAATAATTGCTTCGTCCTCAAAAGGATATGCCTTGTTGACTTTTGGAAATTATGCGTGGTTTTTAGGCAAAGAATGTTTTACATTCATTTTAAGGAAATTGCATTAGAAAAACAAGTGTCTAAAATTCTACAATCTTGGTTGTAGGCTTGTAACCACCTTACCATAACCTTTGTTCAGACTGGACATAATAAATGCTTATATACGATGGTCTAGATCTTTGAAATCCCCATACCCACATCCAAACACACCCCTAGTAAAGGTTTTAATAGATCTACACCATTTGATTAACTTAAGTTTAGGGTTGTGATTATTTGTCAAATTCATTGGCAGGAGGAAGGTCTCCATATATAAGTTTGTGTTTTAAATCCCCATACCCACATCCAAACACACCTCTAGTAAAGGTTTTAATAGATCTACACATTTGATTAGCTTAAGTTGAGGATTGTGATTATTTGTCAAATTCTTTGGTAGGAGGAAGGTCTCCATATATAAGTGTGTGCACGCGCGCACTTTTGTCGTTTTCTCACTTTTCTCTATTTTATTTTGACCAGTTCTTAAGGAGTATCAAAGCACTAGTCATTAGATGTGCATTTCACTTTTTTTTTTTTTTCTTTATCAATTATTTTGTGACAGGAATGGAACTCATAAAAGTTTCGTGTTCAATATCAGTGATGCGAATAAACAGCGTGAAGTATAACTGAACAACATGTAAAATGTGCATCTCCACTTCAGGTATACAAGTAATCAAGGCACTTTCCATCAGCAAGTAAATATTTAGCTGGTCCTGAGAACCACATACTTGTCGAATTAACTCCTGCCTCCTGGTACTCTTAGGTGTCAAGGGAATCATCTTTGATGATGTGAACTTCAATGCCATCTATCTTTGACAGCATTGGAGGTGTTCCTAAGTAATTCACTTTTGGAGATGGGATGTGTAGTTATTTATTAAATGTTTTGATGTTACCTTTGACATGATGTCTGTTTCTTTGAAGCGTTTTGATGTTCATTTCAAGAAAAGGCTGGATCCAACCAGTTGGACATTTTCCCTTTATAACTAGGAAAGATGGGTACATGATCTCGCGAATTACTTCTGAAGAAATTAAGCAATTATATGTAAGAACCATAGCATTTCGNTGAATCGAGAACTTTTGGCTCAACTTTATCCATCAACTTGCTTGTTGGGATTGTTTATTTGTAAGTATTTTGAATATTATGTGCAATTAATTTTAGGGATAATTGCAATTATGGTCTCAAACGTCTTAAATCTTTGCAACTTTTATCTAATTTTCATTTGTTGCAGCCCCAGTCTTAAATCTTTCAAGTGTGGTTGGAAGACAAATGGATGGAACTGTCCAAATGTCAGGAAAAATTGAAATTGGTAAATAATAAGGATAAAATGGTAAAATCACATTTTTAACATAAAATAAATGAAAATTTAAATAAAAGGGAAAACAAAAAGGACTTTACTATATATACATTAAGGGTTGCATCATGAATATTGTTTAATTTCTATCAATTAATTGCATAATGTCAATTGTACATTATGTAATCACGATATAACATAAGTAGAATACTAAAAAAAAAAAAAAATTGAAAAGAAATAATAGGAACCTACTCATTATGTTCCCCACCCCGACCTTAACCAAACCAAATTAACCTATTCGTTGGCGTTGGCCGTAGGTGCCACCATGGGACCACCTGCCACCGCAAATTAGTGGTGGCAAAAAGGCTCGGCTCGGAAAAAGCTCGGCTCGGGCTCGGTCCGAGCCCCACTTTGGGGCATCGGCTCGAGCTCGGGTCAGCCTGTGTCATAGGCCGAAATGGCCCGTGTCCAGATTTTATTAAAAAAAAATTAATTTTTTGAATTAAGAAAAAAGTGCCTGCCTGCACAGCAAGTAGCTACAACGCAGCTACAATTTTGCAGGCAGCTACACGCAAGCTATTGCTTGCGTGCACGCAACCACAAAATTTGATTCGTAAATTTTTTTGAATTGAATTGTCTTAACTTTGAATTTGTAAATTAAATATACTTAAAACGGATATATTTTTTTGTCTATAAATACTAGAAAATTTTTACAAATTCATATCAAGCTATCTCATATTTTCTTTACGCAATATTCAAATTCCAATTGAGCTCTCAAGTCTCAACTTTCTTTACTCAATATTCAAATTCAGTATTATACTCTCAAATTTCTTTTACTCTTTTTTTCAATATTTTTTACTATAATACTTACACATGGATTTCACTAGTGATGAGATTAATCAGTTTAGAGGTAGTTCGAGTACTCCATT